TGCCAACCGCAGTAATTGAAAATTAAATTTAATTTTACGGCCAAAGTTAAACATTTGCTCAGTAAAACACAAACGCGCACGCATTAGAAGCCTTCCTGGCTTCGTCATCGTAGGTGTCCTGTTGTGTGGCCCCACCAGCCCGCCGGCTTGTACCCTTCGACCTGGGGCGGCCCTTTTGCTTCGTGTGAACCCGCACAATTGTTGCGGATTTTCGCAAGCGATAATCATAAAAATGAAAATTTTAATAGTCGCGCGTGGCGACGTCAACCAAACTCCCACTCCCCCTCGGTGTGGCGTGTGTGTTGGCTGCTTTTCTAGCTGTTTGAACACACACACACGGCCGTATATTGATTTTGTTTCCAGTTTGTTTGGGTGTACCCAGCTGAGTGTTTTCATACATATGTTTGTGACTCGCTCTTGGGCGCTGCAGCAAAAAATTTCGGTTCGACAGGCTCATTACGGTTTAGTGAAACCGTGGGGCTCAGAAGGAGGTGGCACGACAATCCCCTCTAGGCCCATTGGCGCATAAAATTCTGGAGCCTCGGCCTTCTTTATTTTTGGCTGTTTTATGGATTAGCTATGCTCCCATGCTTTTACCAGAAACTTTGTGATTGGTTTTTGGAAAGTGATTACAAAAACATGAACGAATTCTACTAACAATTCTGCAGAGTCTTTAGGTCTAAAGTTTGGAGGTATTTGTAACATTAGTAGGTATAATTCTTAGTCAGACTTACCAGTTGGCAAATTACTGTGTGTACTTTTCCGTTGTCTGTTATCGAGTCTTATCGGCATTTGAAATTGGTCCACTTAATAAAGTAAATAACTTTTCCGTAATAACTTTACGTAGTCTATTGGTATAATATTCTTCAGATTGTATGATTTTTCACTGTCTTTTACTCTTTTGAGGCTACCTCAATGATATGTGGCGATATTTTTGTAAATATTTTGTTTTATTCGATAACTGATGTAAAACTTCTAACAAAAATTGCTACCTTAGGAGTTATTCATTAAGCAATTTTAATACATTGATGCATGTACTATTTTAATATATTTTTTTTGTAAATTTAATGGCTAATTCTTGAGATTAAACTAGGGTTTACTCTTTGCAAGAGTGTTGATATGTATGCGATAATTTGCACAATTTTCCTTAAACTAGTTCATTAAGATTAGTTTTTAGATTTTTTTATTGAATAAATAGCTTGGTTAGTAATTCAGCAAGCTTTCTGGGCGTTATTACATGATATGCATTAGTTTTCTTTAAGTTTACATTTAATTTGTATTTATTTATTTATGCAAAGTTGTTCTTGTTCTTACTTCATTAAGATTTATTCGTTTTTAGGGTTAGTGTTTAGAATGGTCTTGCTTTTTGGATTTAGTTCCACTATTTTTAAATTCTTATTTTGAATGATATGTTTGGATAAAACATTAATTTTGTTTATTTGGTAATTACTGGTGTTTTTTTATTTTATATAATGATAATGTGTCCTTTTTATTTTATTCGTTTTTGTTATTCATCGAATTAATCATCCTTTTTTCTTTAATTTCTTTGTGGACTCCAAGTTTTGTTTATAAATTTTCCATCCACCGCTAACGGGTTCCACAAACTTTCTCCGGGGGTTCTCTTTGGGGCGCTCTCTCTTTTCTCTTGCACAGTAATGGCGGCTCTCTGGCTTCCTTCTCTGGGCCCTTTCTCCAACTCCGCGACCACCTCCGCTCCTGTGGCCCACTCGCCTCTCTCTCTCCTTTCTTCTCCTTCCTGCCTTTCTCCGCCCCCTCTCTTTCACTGGACTCGCTTTTACAGGCGGCAACGGCAGCGGCAAGTTCTCTATGTATTCGTTTTTTTTTCAGGCTTTTGTATTTCAGTAACTTTTTCCGATTCCGCTTTGTGGCCACATTCGCACCGAAAAAACCGTAGGCCCACAAACAACAACAAATCGTACTCGAAATTATTTATTCAAGTCAATTAAGTTTTCATGTCGGATTTTTGGGGAATTTTCGCTGATTATCTCCTGCGGAGATTTATGGCGTTATCGTGGATATATCCTGGTGGGATTAAGGATACATCTATTTGGCCGCTGCCGTTGTGTTCCCACGCCCGTAGAAATTATACAATCACTCGAAGGATTTAAAAACTATATGCGTACAAGGATGTATTTCTTGGGACACTCGCGTTTGCCTAATTTGTTCGTTATTGGATTTAAAATTTAAAATTAGAAGACTGCGCACTGCGATGGACAGCGATTTGTTTATTGCACAATTCGAATGTCTCTGTTGGGATTGGGATTCTTTATTTTCAGGCCTGTGTTCGCTGCGTGCGGCAGAGTCGGAGTGTTTTCGTTTACTCAGGAGCTAGTGCAGGATGCTGCTACGCCAGACCATGAATTTTTCATCAAGCATCCTTATTAGAGATTTTCGCCCCATCTCGTTGAGATTTCTGCGCAAGCATCCGCCTGAGAGAGATGCCGAGAGAGAGTGCGAGAGAATGGAGCCTGCGAGAGCGTCAGTAACATAGATTTTGAAAGGACATCCCTTTGAATGGGTGCATCTCCCAATTGGTATGCTATACAAATTAATAAGCCATTTTTACTATTCCCCCATAAGTATTTCCCTTTGCATCTGATTATAGTCTCTTGGAGGTATTTTTCTGAATTTTTCCTGTATCTTTTGGAGGGTTGTTCGCTTATCAGGTGGGCGGTGGATGAGCTTGGGGCCGTGCGAAGAGGCCGGGGGTGTCTTTTGGGGGTGGCTTTATCTGTTTGTTATTCGCTCTCCCCAAGCTTTCCAGCTTTTCAATTGTCAGCCAACCTTTCTCCGAGGTTGCAACATTGGCTAATGGTGAGTTTTAGCTAGTTCCCAAACCTTGCCGCCATTTTGTTAGCATACATGTAAAGAAAGAAATTTACATGGTCCGATGTTAGGTAAAAAGCATGCATAAATGAAATTAATTAAAAAAATCTATTTTTGTAATTTAAAAAAAAAAACCTGGCTTTTTAGCATCATTATTGATTAATTTTTAACTTATTGAATTTTCCTATATAATAAAATCAGTTCGTCTTAAACTTAAAGCAGAATAATAGAATCATAATTCTATAGTTCGTTTTAAGATTATACTTAAGAAAAAAATAATAATTTTAAGAAATAAAAAAAAAATAAAAACTTCATGTTTGTGATTTTTTATTATTCTTATTTTTTAGATTGGTCAATTTTAAGAAACATATTTGAAAAATAATAATTTTCAGTTTGGCCCAATTTTTTTTAATTGCGGGCCAGAAGGAACTCCATTGGAGACCCTACCCAAGCCTCTCCAGACAGCCCCTCAAAATATTCTTCTTCAATTGCGTCTCTCGCCGCTCCATGTTGGACATCTGTTGGCCTGCTAGCTCTGCGTCCTAGCCCAAGTAATTCTTCTCCTGCTTGGCTTGAGTCCTTTTTTCGGGTAAAATGAAAATCAATAAAAAGCTCAATGACGTCAGCCGTCCGGCACACACACACACAATATTCAACAAAAAATGCTGCTGGCAAATACCCGTAGCTCCAGGCTCCCCCAGACTCCGGCTGTCACATCCATATCCCCCTGGCTCCCTGGCTCAAACCCACGAAGAATTCTCTCTTCTCCGTCGGATATCCAATCGCTCTGCGATGGGAGTTTATGTGTGTGTGAGGCGTGATTTGGTGGTAGTATGTGTGTAAAGCTGAAAACTCTGCACGTGAGCTGGCTATCAGAAAAAGACTCAAACATTTCGACAACCAAAAAAGCATTTATCTCACAATATTATTCTACTTGTCATAGATAAATGCAAAAAAATGCATGGAAAAAAAAGTTATTATTATTATATTATTCTCTATTATTTATATTATTTTACAGCAATATAATTTTTTTTAAGTTCCGAGCGTCAAAATAGTCATTTATTTCATTAAAAAAACATAAATTTTTTTCAAAATCTCAGAATGTAACATTCTGTCTTTTATTACATTAATATAATTAATTTCAAAAATTTTAATAATTATTTTTTCCTCTGCAGCATAAAGGAAGTGCAATAGGACGAAAAATGAGCGATAGGCTGGGAAAAGCAACGTACAAGTGGCTTTGACAATTTACGCCAAATTCCGTGATGGCTGCGATAAGCCGCAGGATAAAATCGAAAGCAGCCACGACAGCTCAAGCCAATTGCGAAATGTGCAACAGAAGTGTACAAATTTTATAGGCTTTGCGTACTTTGGGTGCTTTGGGGGCTGAATATTTTTGACAAGCACGTGATGTGTTAAGTTAGACTCTGTGATTCTAAAAATAGCATTTTTATAAAAAGATTTTTGAACTTTTGAGAAGTAGATTTTTCTTTCTATATTGAGGAAAGTTCATTTAAGCATAAAACTCCTCCCGCATTTTGTTGCCCTCAAAAGTAGGCAATAATAACTGAGTCTGGCACTATTAAGGCTTTTCAGTCCAAAATGCATTGAAGAAAGGTTTTTTTTTTGCAAAAATGAGAGAAACCATCACACAAGCGTTCTCCCCCTAACCGAGCTTAGTTTTATGAATATGCAACACGATGTTGCTTCCTAATGTTAGCCCAAAACAACTATATTACTATATGTAATGCCCGAGGGGCGGATCGCAAGGGGGTGGCTGGCGGAATCGGAGTCACACACACACACACGAGCATTTATTAGAGCCGTTAGTTTGTAGTAGGTGTTAAAATTGCACATGAAATATGAAAAGCCACTCATAACAGCACACACGAACACACTCGCAGGCGAAGGAACATGTGCTCCCACTTGCCTGGTTAACAACTCCCCGGTCAATTCACCACGAAAGAGATAGCCAGCCAAGGAGGCGAAAGAGACGGGTAGACAGCGAGGGAAAGAGTCGGGAATAGCGAGAGAGAAATTCCTGAACTGCTGACGACAATCGAAGCGAATTCCTGATGTAGGTGGGCCATATCGCAATAGCTGTGGCTCCAGCTGCGGGTTCCTTTTTCAGTTTTAGTTTCAGTCGTTGTCGTGTCGTCGTGATGTGCACATCTTGAGAAGATTGCGTTGCTTTCTGGGCGCAGCTGTCGGTTTTAATGGAAAATAATTAATTTCATATTTAATTTGAAGCCCATTGAACAATGTAAACAAGAACGCGATAATCGCGATGGTTGCGGGATAGCTGTCAGCGTTGGCTTTCGATTAGAACGTTTAAGAAAAAATATAATTCGAAGGTTGCCGGATCGAGAAATTGTTGGAAAATATCTGTTTCATATAAAAAATGGTCCATACGTTCCAACAATTTGTCAGGTTGGCGCTCTCGCTGATAACTAAGGACTACTATAACTAATTTCGTTGTTTTGATCTGGATCTTCCCTGGTTGCAAACAGCAACATCAGCAACATCAAACAGCAACAGCAACATCAGGCCATCACCGTCAACAAAAGTTAAACAATGCTAAGGACATGAGTTCGCCAAACTGAAAATTATTTTGCGCATATGGAATGCTGCACACATAGATATAGCAGTATATACTTATACCGATATATACCTATATATTTGCCTATGTTATACACACACAAATCTAAATAAAATCTAAGTGCAAACCAATTGTGATTTAAGCTAATGACCACGACCCAAAAAACAGCTACATAAGTGTAAAAAAAATTTAAGCAATTAATGCAATTTTCATTTTCTACTTTAATGAAATTTTTAGGGTTTTTTTTCATCATTCCTCTGCTGGTTGCTTTTTTCTGTACACACAACGCCACGCAATCCCACCCAGAACTCTCTCCTCTCAGGGCTCTCTCTTCGGGGCCCCCTCCCCGCCACTACGACTTTCACCCGACTGCCTTTCTCTCCTTTGTTGTGTTGGCCGTGATCCCGCCTTGCTCTCTCGCTCCCACTTCCTTTTTGCGGATGAACGCATTAAATATGCAGAAAAATAAAGCAGCACTCATACAGGCACAAGCACAGGCCCACACAGACGCACTCACGTGTAATGGTTAACTGTTTTGTTCTTTACCCTTGAGCTTAAAGGAAATTTCATTAGGGCTGAGAGTTTCTGTTTTTTAGCCCAGTGAACTCGTCAGGAATTAATTAATCAAAGTTGTGAAAGGCAATCATGTGGGCGGGAATGAGAATAAGTGGGAGCTTAAAGTTCACCATACGAAGGCAGAAAAATAAATTAAACTAGTAAAGATACAACTGTATTAACTTTAAAGTCTGTAGAGGGAAAGAGTATATCTTGTGGTACAACAGTGCGTATGATTAACATGGCTTACGTTAGCCTTTTCGCTTATTTCAAGTGCTTGGCGACCCAGCATGGGCAGAATAATATCCCAGTATTTCGGTGCTTGCTGCCAGCTGCAGTGCCCTTTCTCTCAGCCATGCTCTCTCCCTCAGTCTCGCTCTCTGCTTCGTGAGTGTATCTGTGTGTGTGTTTGTGTGAGTTACAACAAAAGGCAGCATGCAACATAATTACAACTCAACTTCAACTTTACACTTAGACGCGAGGCGAAGCTCGCTAGAGAAACAACAAATACGAGAGCCGCAAAACGTGTGTTTACTAATCAGTGTATCTAATATACATATATTAAAGTGGATATAATCTAAATATGTATACTTTTCTTCGCAGCAGTTTTCAAATTTATTAAAAGTCGACACAAATGCAAACCAACAAACGCCTTGTAAATAGCAAAACTAACTGAAATAGAGACTCAACAACACTTTCTTATGCTAATAGAACAAACTTAAAATTAACATATTCTAAACCAAACCATAACAAACAACGAATAAACAAACAACGGAGTTTACACAACAACAACTTTATAGAGGAGTTCAGGTGAGTTAAGAAAAAAAGAATTTTAGTCCTTTTAGAGTATTTCTATTTTGGTATCAAAGGAGCAAAAATAACGTCAACAGTTGACTTAGACAATGGTGAACAATGGCCAAGAAATTGACACAAATTTCGCCCATTTTCTGCCCTTCCTCTCCTTCTCTGCCTTTTGTTGCCTTTTCTCTGTTTACTGGGCTCTGGCTGGGATGAGTGGGTGGTTCGCCCGTCGATGGGCGTTAAATTTAATTAAAAGGTAAACTAGTTACGGCAGTAGTGGTAGTAGCTTTGGCAGTGGCAGCAGCAACAGGCAGCCAGTTGGAATCGATTTTCCCTTTGACTTGTGTCAGTTGGCAAATGGCAAACGTCACTAGGCAACCGAACCGGGGGCCAGGGAACTAGAGGATGAGCCCATTTGTATGGACAAATGATAGTAATGACGACATAAGCACCCACATTCAAATAAACACACTCGCCAACTGAACCGAATGGACGTCATAAATGTTTGACAATGCACACGAGGCGTATGAGTAATGGCGCACGGCCCACAGAAGAAACGGCTCTTTGTTTTGTGGGTGTAACTGAATAGCTGAGTGTGTGTGTGTGTGGAGGGACACCATTGAAACAACTATCCATTGACATGACCCCCTCTTCCATCCGTTCCATCCGTTTTTGTGAGGGTCAATGGGTGCATAAAATTGCTTTTATGCTTCGATGTCAATGCTCGCCTCTTTTGCCCTTTTCCCTCTGCTCTTGGGTGGAAACATATTCAGTGGCTCTTGTTGGGCCAACTTTTAGATGTAGCCCTCCACCACCTTCCCCTGGAATCGACAACTTTTTGCCAATGTTTTGTAGCTCGCATTTGTCTGCCGTTAATTGCATGGAAATTGTGAGCGCAATTGAAAAAGTTAAACAAGGAAACCGGGAGGATAGCATTGTCCCAGCTTCCTATTTTCGCTGTGAAATAGAAAAAGAACAGGGAAAATGCAAATGGGTGCAGTCATTGACTTCCCTGGCCGAGCCCGCAATGAATAAATAATTTAAATTATAGGCCATGTCCAGCTGCGAATGCCTGCTGGTCATTAGTCAGGCTGGCGAAGAGACCCCGACGACATCCTTTTTGGCAAGCAAACCGCAATAAGTCGCCAAGTCATTGCCTCGTTTATAGTTTTTGGGTTGGCTTGCAACAACAAACGGCAGCTTGGCCACGTTTTCTTTTATGGCTCTATTCGAGTGGTCGTTTGTGAGTAAGTGTGTGTGTATGCGTCCAAGCAACACTCCAAGTCCATTGCACTCGGCAGCTGGAAAATGGCTTACGCCACGAAAACTCCGCTCACCAATTCTGTTAAATGCACGCGTCTTCGGCGATCGCAGCGGGAGAGGTAGCGTCACAGGGGCAGCAATATATAGCCAGATAGAGCACCCCGTTGACAGGTGATGTCAGTTGATAAATGACCCACTTCCTAGCCGAGCAACCAGTTGATGCTTTGGCCTTTTGCCCCGATAAAATAAGTACAAGACTACCAAACCGAAACGGTGGAGAGATTAAAGAGCAATTCCGAGCAGGCGAACGGTGGTCCTGACATTTCGTAATTGAAAGTGCGCTGAAAGAAAAATGAGTATATTATCAAATAGAAAAGTAGAGTAGAGTAAATCAATCTAGGTATTAACTCATGGATTGAATAATTTATATTAATTGTATAAGCAGTCCATATAAATGACAACAGTAGCTACTTCTGAAAAAAAATTTAAATGTCTTCTAAAAATACTATTTCAAACTCATTCCATTTTTTATAGAATCTTGACCTTTGCCTTAATGGCATTTTTGTTGGTCGCTATTGTTGCCCAATTCCAGGCATTTGAAATGCATTTTTCCTTTCACTGAAAAAATGATTCCGCTGGCTGCTGTTGTTGCCACTTCTGGTGGCGACTGGTATGGCTAATTGAAACTGTCAATTATCAGTTGGCTATTGGTAGTGGCAGCTACCCGTTGGCAGTGAACTTTCACATTTCAGCCCGACCTGCACTTTTGAACTGCGCTATTTGTGAGACATTATTCCCTTTAGTGCTCCGGAGGCTAGGGGGCGTATGCGTAATATGAAATAACCTTGGACAACGTGGGCAGGCAGTGGCAGTGGCGGCGGCAGCGGCGACCAAGGAATGTAGCCTTCCGCTTCCTCTGCTCTCCCCGGCCACCACTCCCCTGGATTTTTCATTATTATTATAATTCATCCTTGTGCCTGATAAGTTTCTCGCCCCCCCCCACCCGCTGTGCTTTTTGGTTGCTGTTTGCCTTCTGCTTTTGTTGTTGAGTTCGCGCGGTCAGCGCATGAAATTTCTATCTACTGCGAAGCAGGTGACAGGGAAATTGTCAGGGGGAAATTTATGGAAAACTTCCCCAGTGCCCGCTCTCTGTGATTTAACCGTTAGCGCCTCGCAAGCGCGCGCATTGGAAAAAGTCCGTGGTGAAAAGATAAGCCTTCTCTCTCTCACTTGTTTAGCTTGCCTCTCCCGCAGTTAATAAGCTGATTCTGAGTTTCTGCGGCTTTATTTTTGGTGGAACTTTTCGAGAAAATGAGCTTCGGGAGCACACTTAATAGGCGACACCGAATCAGGCATCTTAATCAATTGATTGAAGAGCTGAAAGATTGATTTCTCTCCCATAAACCCAAAACAAACGCCCCATCCGCTGAGCTCCTTTTATGGGACCATTTTGGAGGGTCCTGCCCCATCGGTCTAACCTTCCGATTTAAAGCCACATAAAGCCGCCCCATCCTGAAGCCACACACATCTACCCAACGCAGCCATCAATTTTGCATGGGGTGTTGGTGCTGTTGTTGCAGGTTCTGCTGCATCTGCTGCATTATCAATTCATGAGCCCGCGCCGAGAAACACAAGATACAAGTCCTCGCACCGCCTGAGGACCTCTGTGGATGGCAGCATAAAGCAGGCCCATAAACACCATGGTAGCTGGATTTTATCTTGCTGGAACTACATAAGTTATAGGCCAAGAGGGGGCTGTCAGTGCACAGAACAAAAATTAAATAAACTTTACAGAAAATGTCTAAATATTTAGGAGTAATTAAAGAATTACTTTATTAAAAGCAATAAATTAATCATTTTTTGAATGATTCTTTTGAAAAACATATTATTTAAAGTTATATATGTATCAAATATATAATTAAAACTCCACTGCAACTTCTTTCTCTCCCTGTATCTGTGTCAAGTTGCATACATCTGCGTACATACCCCGAGGATGTGACATCGACAGCTGCCCCATAAAGCCCCAGTAATAAATATACATGCATTCGAGAAATCAATCGCTGGCTCCCCATGTAGTTGATGCTCTGCCTTGATTTTAATGCCACCCCAACTCAATTTAATTAAGCGTGGCTCGGTCATACATACATTTCATAAACGTTCGGCAAATTGTTCGCAGTGGGTCGGAGGTCATAACCAATTCCCACACCGCTCGGATATCTCTGACCCGACCTGCTGCTGCTGTTGCTGCTGCAAAATTCATGCAATTGAAGCTACAGCTGCTGCAATATGTTGCCGAGGGGGCTAGGGCTTCTAATGCGGACGCTGCTGCAGCTCCTGGTCTTTCTGCTAAATCTCGGCCTAAGCTCCTTGCTGCTTTCAAATAGGATTAGAGGTCGATATCCTGGCAACGTCGGCGTTCTGGTGGGCTTCTCGCACACTCGACTATGCGCCAAGTGCTTGATGGCTTTTAATTACGATGGTTCAGATTGCTTCCTGGCCATTGGATGCTAATTCTAGCGCCTTTCAGAAGAAGGAAATGAGGCGCCTGAAAGAGTCCTGCCCCAGCAAGCGAAGTGTTTTCTTCCGGTTGCAGCCTGCCCTCTTGCAAACGGGCTTGGACCAGTAATCTCCTCTTTGTGCGTAAATGTATGCGAATGCACCGAAAAAAAGGCTAAGCTTTTATAATAACATTTCTATTTTATTAGAGTTATTTATTTAAATTTATTTAAACTAAGAACCCTCTTCTTTTAAAAGACTAGGACTCGACAATATGTTCCAAAATTGTATCATTTAATTTTATTTCTGCGTGTACATGAGCATGGCCTCGTACATATTTTCGCATTTTGTACGTGCGTCACCGTGTCAACCGCAAAGAACTGCAACCCTTTGCCTCACCACTGCTGGCCCGGCCCCACTCCATGACCCTACCCCGGCAGGCAGGCCACCTAGTTACCCTACTAAGGGACCTGCCTGGTTTTTGTGGCTGGTTGTTTGCCCTGGCACGTTGATGGCCATAAATACAGTTACACATGTTTACATTGCGGTCAGATACTGGCCATCCCCAGGGCTCCCGCCTCCCCCTTGGAACCCTTCGGTCATCTCGTTAAAATTCTCATTTCCTGCTGGTTTACTTTTGTTTATTTTTTAAATTTGGCATTGCATTTGGTTTACGAGATTCAATTAAGTACGTATTACAGTAGAAATTACAGAAAGTTTACACCATTAAACGTAAAAATTAATTAGTTCACAGCTGGTAACAGGAATAGCTTACTGTCAAATTAATTTTAAAACATAAAAATGCACTTTATTTTAAATAAAAAATATGTCTTGTTTCGATTGCAGTATTAACAGCTCTCTTTAAGCCGCGTTGCCTGCAATTTGAAAGGATCGCAACGCAAAATGGCGCCGCAACGCGCACGGCAACCTTACCAACAACAAAGGACACAACAAGTACAATTTACTTGGCAAAGGCACCAGAATCAGCCATTAGAAGCAACAACAATGGCCCGGCAACGACATAGAGTGGTTGAAAAATGAAACAAAAACCAGAAACGAATTTTCCACTCAAATTTGCATTCAGCCAAAGATATACAAAAGTCTAAACAAAGAGGAAGGAAACAACACACAACTGTGCACAAGAAATTCGCAAAAGAAAAGGGGTCAGAGGGCACGCACACAAACACACACACCGAAACGGACAACAGGACACAGGAACCACAACACAAATACACCTGAAAGGAGCACATAAAACTCAGAGAAACCACACCGACACACAAATAAGAAAGAAAGCGCCGAGTGCATCGTGAATAATTTCCAACGAATTTCCAAAAGTCTACGAAACAAATCTAACAAAACGTTCATTACAAATAATAACAAAAGAATCCCATAAAAGTTTTGAAATTTGCTCTGTGATTTTCTATCGGAATGGTTTACTAACCCAATAATAATAATAATATTTAATAAAATAATATATATTTATAAATATTGCTGCATAGACGACATACCAAAACAAACAAGTTATCGAATCAATATTGAAAGCTTTAAATCCAACCGGAAAGATAAACCAACAATGTTTATAAATACTAGAAGCAAAAAATAAATACACTCCAACTAATTAGAGCCGCAGAAGCTACTCAACTCCCGGCAAGCGTCAACGAACTCAATCGATTGGGAAAAACTAGAAAAACTAGAGGAAAACCCTAAGCCATTAGCCATGGACGAAATGCCGGACCTGTCGCACCTGACGCCACACGAGCGGATGCAGATCGAGAATGTCCTTATGCGCCAAAAGCAGGAGGAGGAGAAGCAAAATGAGATCATGCGGTGAGTTTTCGGTAGACCTTTAATTTAAATAATAAAAATTAATATTTTATTAAAATGTCCTTGCAGGCGCAAACAGGATGAGGTGGTTACACTGGAAATGCAAATCAGACAACGCTCCGAGCAGCAGAAGAAGGCCGGCGTGGAGCTGGATGCCACCTGTCACATCTGCCTTAAGACCAAATTCGCCGACGGTGTTGGCCACATATGCCACTACTGCAACATTCGGTGCTGCGCCCGATGCGGCGGCAAAGTGACTCTCCGTAGCAATAAGGTAAGTTCCATCCACTCAGCCATCCAATTTAATGAACCTGACAGCTCGCTTGGATTACTACTCTGACGGCACTGACATCGACACTATTTGGAGAGCGCGTGTGACAGCAGAAAAATGGGCTTTAAAGGGTGCTGAGCTCATTTTCCGCTTATTGGCAAATAGGACAGCGGCGCTGCCAAACTCTGACGCCAATATTGCTGGCGTCCCGGCTGCCGCTTGACTAAGCAGCCATCACTCATACGCCCCATTGCCACATCGGCATGGCCATAGCCGGATCCTTAGCTGGAGCCCTAGCCATCGCTTGTTGCCAACTGTCCCCAGTGACGCGTAGAGGGCATAAATAAGTGCCATTGTCGCCTTGTAGCCCGCTGTCGCGAGAAGGATAATTGGCGAGTGATGGTTTCATGTTCCTTTCTTTCCGCCTCCCTACAATTTATAGTTTCAAGTGATGTCTTTTTCCAAGGATGTGCTATTATGCAGTTCCCTGTTAATTCTTTCTAATTCAATAGTGAATTTAAATACCAGTTTTCAATTGATTAATAATGTTTCCAATATTTTGGCTCTTCTTCCAACTACCTTTAGATAGCCTTGGGAGCAGGATATTGATTGCTGGCATTGAAAGCCCCTCCATTCTCATTTTTTTCATCCACAAACTCACCCTCCAGGCCCCCGCCCCCGCAGTGCATTGCATTTCAATTACACTTTTTTCAATTTTTATTTAACTCAGTGAACCGTTTCGTTGGAGTTTTCCCGCTTGTTTCTTTTCCCGCTGCCTGAGCTTATCATTTTCTGGCCGTGCTGCCAAACGTTTTTCCGTTGAACTGCTGCCAAAATGTCACAGACACACACTCACACCAGAGGTGTGCCACAGATATAGACCCGGAGAAAAGAAATTGTATAGCAGCCCCGAACGAAAGCCAAGCGGAATTTCAATTTGGCTGTGACACGGTATCTTGGACTTATAGTTCCTTTTCTTTTTCGATTTTTGGTTGTTTTTTGTTATTCAAGAGACCTCCGGAACATCGGGAAGGTCGAAGCGCGGAAAACTAGCGACAGGTGGATCCATTTGTTCTTATTACGATCTTCATGGTACGATGTGACCAGGTTTACATTGCTAAATCCAGCAAAGTACTCGTTCCTTCCCCGCTCCACATAGGTGGTCGTAAAGATGCTAGCCCACATGAATTCGAAAAGCTTGGTGAAAACGTAAAGCACTGTGGTATCCGGCCATCCATCAAGTAGAGCTACGCCGTGTGCGTTTTCGGCTCTGTCCTGCCCTTCGCCCTCAATGGGTCCAAATTCCTCACCGTCATCGGAGGACCTAAGGCGAACTTGTATATCTGGGGCACTCAGATTTTCAGCTTCTTCCATGGTGTAGCCAGTCTGCAAATGTAAAAACGATGTGGACTACCTAACCTAAGTGACTGAATCGGCACGGGAGAGTAGAAACCCTGAATGTTTATGACTAGAAAGTCACTGCCTTGATAGTTTCTAAACGACAGGCTTATTTTCTCTTCGTCTTTCAGGTGATTTGGGTGTGCATATTGTGCCGCAAGAAACAGGAGCTCCTGTCCAAAACTGGCCAGTGGATAAACAAGACAGCGGGCCACCAGGATGGATTCATCCGGCGCATTGAGCCTGATGGCAGCAGTGTAAGTGTGCATTTTTCTAGCCCATTTTAGCTGCTCAGAATATATTATTCGCTGCAGGACATCTCCCAGCAGACCATCGTGGATCCGCACGACCAAACGGATAAGCGGCCCAAGCTGGAACGAACTCGCAGCGCCGCTGAGAAGGAAAACCTGCCCATGCAGCGAGCGGGGAGCATGCTCCGGCGTCAGTACTCGCAGCAGGAGCAGCCCACCAACCGGAGGCTCTCAGTGTCTGACAGCGGAATGGATCCTATGATGAGTCCCGGCCAGCAGCAGCAAATGCAGCACCACCAACAGCAGATGCAGCAACGCTCCCGCATGCAACCGATGAATCCTCAGCAGGCGCAGCAGGCATATGGCATGCAACAACAGCAGCAGCAAAGAACCGGTGGCGCTTATCCAGAGGATGATCCGCGTTTCTATCAGGTAATTAGTCAACTTTTCCCTTAGCCAGGGAGAATTGAGATAAACACAATGAACTAATACTATTTAATAATATTAATTATCATTTTTAGGGCGAGCTAGATGGTCTGATGAGACAGCACCCGCACCTGGCGCATCCCAGTCAGGTGCAAGCGCCACACCAGCCACAGTCACAACACCAACAGCAGACGCAACACCACCCACAGCAGCAGCAGCAGCACCTTATGCCCCAGCAACATCGCCAATCACCGCAGCAACATGTGCCCCAGCAGCAGCAGCAGCACCAGCAACAACACCAGCAGCAATTCGCGGCTAGACAGCAGCAGCATCAGGTGCAGCAATCCTACCAGGCGCAGATTCACCAGCAGCCTCACCAGCCAATGCCGCCACACCACGGGCAGCCAGGCATGTCGCAGATGGGAGGCTACCAAAAGCCCCCGCCCTTGACCCGCAACCTGACCATTTCCGGGGGTCATGCCATGGACACCAGCGCGTACAGCCAGCAGCAACAACAGCAGCAACGCCGGGCTCTGGCCGGATCCCAGTACGCCTCACAGCAGCAGAGATCCTTCAGCAGCTCCGAGGAGGAGTTCCAGCATCAGCTGATGCAGGCCCAGGCCCAAGCCAGCGGGGGGATGCCCAGCGTGGTTACCGCCGGATCGGACTATGACGGTGAGTTGAGACGTTTTGTCCAATTTGCATCCTTGGCTCCTTGTCGCTCTATCTCTGCTCTATCCCCTCCGATCGCTTGAGCGGTCCTCTGTCTCTCTCTAGTCTCCTCTTTCCCCGTCTATCACTATCGCTTCCATTTTAAACGCTCTGAATGTCCCCAAGCCAGATCCGAATTAATACTATTTTCTGTTCCGATAACTCTCCCAATAATTCACAATCTCTCTGTATTTGTAAAATCTCTTTGACTCGCTCGCTAAATCAAAAATCCTTTAAAAAAAACAGAATTCTTTCAAAACTATAGCACACTCTTGTCTCATATTGGTGCGTTGTCTTTTTCTTTGGCTCGTTTTTGAGGATCAGTACTTAATGTTTTTCTTTCCAAAGTCAAATCTTCTTGTACTTGAGTTTTCCTCATATTTCTCTGTTTCATATATCGGTGTAAATATTTATTTTTCAATATTCATTATGTATGACTGTCTCACACATTAAGTTAGCTTTAAGACTACTTCTAAGGTGTAAGTGTAGTTTAAGCGGGAAAACGGCAATCGCATTTCGGGGAGTCTCAAGCTCCTCGACGACTTCGACTGCAAAAGTTTTGGCCAAAAATAAACCGCACTTACCCACATACATACATATACAGACCAGTTTGCAATTTTTTTTCCACACTTTTTTCCACGTGCAATGGTGGCAGGAAAAATAAAAGAAAAAAGGAAAACGAACGTCGAATGGCGAGGAATGTTTTGTAGCGGAAACATTTCGATGCGCTTATCTCGGGGGCACTTGACTCGAATAGAAGGGGAAAAATCTCGAACGAGAGCGGGAAAACCTGCGGAAAAGCACAGAAAGCAGAAGAGGAAAAACGTGAAGGTGCCGAGGAAGGAGCGAAAATAAAAATAAATTGTTTACAAAGGCCAAAAGAGCCACCGAGACAAGTGCACACTTCTGGACGCTGCATACTTTCGGGCGAGCCATTGCCGCTCTTTTTTGCTATAATTGTAGTTGTTTTTCCTGCTCTTGTTGTTGTTGTTCGTCCTGTCCTTTCTTGGTGCTACTTTTGTTGTTGTTATTGTAGCCCGTTGGCCGTTAAATGCAATCAGCATAAATTATATGCCAGTGCCAGGCAAGCGAGCAAAGAAGGTTGCACAGCTGACCCGAAAACACATTTTCCAACAGGGAAACGTGGCACAAAAAAAAATATAAATAAAAAAAAAGCGTACAAGGAGGCAGGACAAGCAGCTTTTCCTTTTTGGCCGCCACCACAGAACATCAAGAAGTTGGCCAAGCAGCTGCACTCGCCTGATGAAGAAGGTGGGTGGGTGGTGCCTCCTTGGGCCGGCTGGGTGGCTGCTTGGCAGGGCGGGGTGAGAATATAGGGTTTCCTTCTGCTCTTCATGTTTTGAAAGATGCCGGGCGACGTTGTCAAGTACGATGCTGGCAAATTTATTATCCTAATTAGAAAGTTTCTTGTTGGCACTTGCTGCAGTTGTGCCACCCTCTGCCATGCCCCCACTTACAAACGACAGTCTTGAATGCACCTCAAAAAATAGATCATTCCCATACCTAATAAAATATAAAAAACTATCGGCAATACATCAAGCATAAGTATTTATTTAACGTTAAAGTATTTTGATTAAATATATAATTGATATTAATATAACTCTGGTTATTAAATTTATTCTATAATCATTTTTTTCGAGTGAATAGTTCAGGAGCAGTGCAACATGCCGCTCTGGGTGATTCCAATTTTTTATTGCTGCACATTAGCGCGCAAGTTTCTGGCAAGCATGTTGCACTTGCAGCACCCCGGTACCACCCCTCGTCGTCTTTGAACTCCTCTGTCATTTTCAATTTTCCAACAAACTAGCATACAATAATTATTGATTTCAACTTTGGCCCCGAGCTCACAGTATCAGCTTGCCAGCGTGTGTTCGCTGGTGACTGTTTGCCACAGAAAGTGGCATAAAATTAGGCTCCCAAAAGTTACAACCACCCAGAGCCCCGCCCCCTAGATCTGGTCTGCAAGCAGGCTGATAAGCAAGCTAGAATGCAACCAGATGGTTAGGAAAGGGCAGAACCGAAAGCCCAATCGAAACTGAGGCAAGTGAAAGTTTACGCGGCAGGTAGCTTGGCATGCTCGGGGCATGGAAAAGCGGCATGTGGAATCTGTTCCGGTGCAGTTGCACTTGAAACTCACCATAGTCCACCATGGGCAACGAAACTCACCACTTTTCTTGCTAGTTCACAATAGTCGCATCCTCAGCTAGACGCCATGCGTTGGAATTTCTCATCCAACGACTCGGCTGGAAAATTCCCACACACCAACGTGCTACCGAAGAACGCATGCGCTGTATTTTCCACGTGTGTCCCCCGCCTCTCTCCCTTCGAACTTACACCATTCCAATGCTGTGGGTGGGAAATGGGAAACAGTGAAAGCAGAAGCAGCTGATGACGAGAAGCGCGCGTAAACCCTCAGATCAGAAAGTTATCCCCCTACTAGGAGGTCTGAGGAAAACAAACTAAATAATAGCCTAAATAATGTCTATCTAATGGTTTTAATGATGGAATTTAAGATACATTTTTATATCTAATACCTTTAGAGTCCTTTAGAGTTATAAACTTTATGCTTTGGTGGAATAAAATTGAAATAAATTTTCCTAATAAAATCTTATAATAGCCATTTATTAATTAGTCCCCAAGCTGTTCAACAATCGAGTCTTTGACTTAGAACTCTTAGTTTTGCGTCACGTTGGCCATTTTGGCTCCTTTGTCCTGCGCTGTCAGATATTCGACTCCACTTCCCTCTTAGTTTTCACCCGCAGCGACGTCATTTCATTCAGTGCATTTCATTTGGGCCTCGTGCAGCGTCATGGTCTTTACTACGTGCAACAACAACATCAACTGATGCACTTTCAACACCAGCCGTGGCAGTAGCAGAAACCGAAGCAGAAGCAGCGATGGCCGTGTGCCAGTGTGGCAGTGTGGCACTGTCACTGCCAACCATCCATCGCCACAGTTAGTCGCTTTTCCGCATCCAGCACGCGCACAGAAAACCACCTCCCACATTCCACCCACCGGCCCCCACCTCTACAAATTTTCCGCTCGCTGGAAGGCAAAGACAAACACATTGGCTTTGCAGAAAATTCGCCTTGAAGGTGCAAACACAAACACCAACACACATTGCAACATTTGTGGGAAAACATATTTTATTTTATTTTAAAATTTATTTATGTTAATTTCTAAAATTTCAAATCATAATTGGGGGTTTATTCGCCTTTTTCATGATCTATCAGTAATATTTCTTAGGGGATTTAGTTTGTTGTTAAACCTTTCTTAAGTATTTTGTCGCTGAGTGTAGTAGTACAACATGTAACTGAAGGTAGGGCGATTTAGAGGGGGTGCGGGTAACCCGCTGACCCCAAAGTGGGCAGCAGCAGCTGTCAATGTTATCGCTGCTGGCTGCGGTCCTGCCGCTCTGCTACTGCTCTGCTGCTGCGCTGTAACCGAGCAGTTGGCAGAGCTGTTGGCCACGCGCTTAACTTTATTTTTAGTTCGGAACTGGAAGCGCCATGGGAAAGTGGCAACAACAACGAGCCATCGTGTAACATTGTTATTGGAAATGTTGTAGGCTCCAACAGCACAACAAAAACAACCAGAGAACGAGAGTAGGCGCAAGGGAAAGCGAATGGCAGCGTAAAGCGAAAATTCCATTGAGATTTTTTATGAAATCGAAACGAAATTAGTTTTCGATGAACTTTAAAGGCGAGTAAACAGCCGTAGCGGTCCTTCTCGCGTTCTCGCACATGTGTGGCATCTCAAAAATATACAAAAATATTTCCCAAACATATTTTTGATATAAGAAACAAAATACTGAAGCGTGTGAAAATCGGGAAATCGCAGAAATCGAAGGAAAACGCGAAAAGGGCAGAGTGCCCGCAAAAAAGTGAAATCAAAACCCGTGTGGGTGAAAGGGAAAGTCAAACCTTGTGAAATGTGAATGTCGAGTTAAAAATAACCTTGTTGGGAAATTGTACAATCCGAAGAGGTTGAGGTTGAAAAAGGAAAATCCTAAAATGTGGCTATCGTGCATAGAAAGCGACAAAGTGGAGAAAGTGAAAGCGTCGGTTTAAAAAATTTAACTTCATTGGCCCTAAATCTTACAAATAATTGACAACTTGGCATTGAGAATCCGCCAAGGATAATTGAGTTGCTGTCAAAGTTTCAAAACTGAAGAGTTAAAAATATAATTTCAAGTGCAAAGTGCAAGTGCTGAAAAATATTGTTCAACTAAAGGTAAACGCGACCTTGAAATGGCTTTAAAACTGCCTAATTGACCGACAACATTCCCTCCCAACAACCACGCCAAAAAGAACCAAACAAATTTGCTCTCAAATCAGTCAATCGACTAACAATACACTGCGCAAATTGTGGCGCCTAACGGGCGCTTTTGCATATGGCCGACCAGCCGAGCCACTCAACCAGCCACCCACACACACACCCACTGTTAGACACCCACGACCACGACCCCGAGTCCACAACCCACCCGAGGCACTTGCTCAGGGGCGCCTGAGTCCTCCCAACCACCCACTGCCATCCCTACACCCATCCCAACCTCCAAACACGCACCCACAACCAACACACCAATGTTCACTTGGAAAAGCAACGCCAAAGGCAGTAGCAACTTAATATTATTGTTTTATTTTTTTGCCATTTTGCTGTTGTGTAGCAGGTAGAAGAAAAACGCTCGATTTGTTTACTGTACTGCCACGCAATCTGTGTGAGGTATGGGTGGTTGGGTGGTAAGCGGCTGGTGGCGGGGGTGGCTAGGTGGCCGAAGCAAGATAGTGCTTCTTGGTGCCACCTGAGCACAAGGGTGGCTTGCTAACATGCCCCGCAATTTGTACAGCAAATTAGGCAATGGCCCAAATCAGAATTCAACAACAACAACAGCTTAAGTGATTTGAAAAGAGGAGGAAGTCCGAAGAAAACAAAGCTCAAAACTAATTAGTGTGGCATGGAGAATATAAACCATTTTTAAATTCCATAAACAAAGCAGAATTTAAGGTGAGTGTCGGCTGCAGGCAAAGCTCTTCTCGAAAATGCACCCACCACAGCTTCAACAAAAATACCAAAACTAAAATCTACAAATGCCACACGCTCACTCCAACAAACAATTCACAAACCACAAACAAAATGCTTAGACAGCCAAAAAGTGAAATATTTAAATGCAAAATTCAAATAGATTAGCACCCAGTATCCAAAAAATGCTTATTGTGTCGAAAAAATGTCTGTCGAGTGCCAAAAACAAAAAATCCAACTAAATGCAGCATTCATATCAAACAACAATTCAACAATGGCAACAGGATTTAGATATTCAGGATTAAGATACACTATGACCTCCACTAAGAACTAAAAACGAATGTCTTTATAATTGGCTTAAGAACATGGGGTCTTTGCGGAATTCAAAGATATAATCTCTTACTTAAGAAACTAATCTCTTGGTAATACATGGCTTTAAATTCAATTTATTATTTTATATTTTATTTAAAATTGTTTGGTAAACATAGCAAACATGTCCACATTTTAATTAGTTAGATAGGAGATTTATTTTCATTTAAATCCTGCCTGTCACGTGGCAAAAACTAATGCTTTTCAGGAGTATATCCACTTTGAAAGCCCGCCTAAAATTATGCTACAAATTTGCGATTAAACACAAAATCAATAGGAAAAATGGTGGATGGGACGAAAAGTAAAATGGCAACCGCAACATCAACGCGGAATGTGTCACATATGAACAAACAGGCTGTGAATAAGTAAATATAGACCACACGTTTGAGTGGGTGGTCCACCATATATCTATCTATATAAAGATATATATGGGATATAGCCCAGTAAGAGCTGCCGTTTGGCTATTTCAAAATGCGACCCACACAGAACCTTTGGGGAATGGGCTGAATTTAATTAAATCGTTGACCAACACCAGTTGACGTTGACGTTGCCAGTTTGTTGTTATTTATGTTGCTCTTGTTGTTGTTGTTGTTGCTGCGGATGCTGGCATTGTTGTTGTTTGTTTGCATGTGCAACTGTGCGTATGAGTGACATTAATGCGAACATGGAGGCTGGCCCACGCAGAAAGTGCGTGTGAGTATGCCGCCCACTCTCATTGAATTTGTTTGTGTTTGTACGCCTGTTTGTGGCCATTTGTGTGCTATTTATGCGCCTGCGTGTGTGTGTTCGTGTGTTTGTGTTTTGTGCGCGTTGGTTTAAAAATAGCACAAGCTACGTCTGCTTCTCCCGATTCTCCCTGCTCCAGCTCCCGCTCCTGCTCCTGCCAATGATGATGATGATGATGATTTTAGTGTCCTTTTGCCAGCCCAACGCCCATTACACCTACACCTACCCTATGTCACACTGCCCCTGCTACACCCGACCATTTCGGTGGCTGTCAACCAAACTGGCTTGAATTTATTGCCAAAAATATAAAACAGGAAGCAGCAGTACACACACACACACACACACTCGACAAACACCAACACACTCGCTCGTATAAACTTTGTTTGATTTTTCGTATTATTTTGTTGTTATTGTCGTTGCCCGATTGCACAATGCGATGGTTATGCGCCATCTTTGGAGAACAACTACAATCGCAACATCTGCGGGGAAAACACCATAAACAACAACCAAAACACCAATACCAACTTAATAAAAAGGCAACAAAACACCAGAAAGCCAAGCAACTTGAATACAAACAAAAAAAAAATATATATCTAGACGAATATCAACAACAACAAGAAGAGAAAAGTGAAACAGAAACAACACCAACACGAACTACAATAAGAAAGGTCGCCAAGGGACAGAAATGACCGTGTTTTTGTGTACAATATTGATTTTTGGTTTCTTTTCTTGGTCTTTTGCGCTGCCGCTGCCTTTCACTTGCCCCTTTCATTTCCTGGCCCCGAGCCTCAAGCCACCTCTTGGCTCCAACCCCTCCATCCTCCTCGTGGCCACGGAATTGTGCGTGTGGTTTGCCACTCGCATCTCAAATAATTTACTTTACTTTGGCTTTGTTTTACTTTCGTGCCTTCTTTTGTTTACATTGTTATCGTTATGTTCTTGTTGTTGGTACTGGATTTTTTCTCTAATTTTTTTTCCATTCTTTTTCTTTTTTTATATTTTTTTTATTTTTATTTCTCTTGGTTTTTTGTTTTGTTTGTCGTCGGTTGTTGTTGTTGCTGTTGCTGCCGCCCATTATGCGCACAATAAACGTTTCGTATCGTTACCAAAGTCAAATGAAAGTATGCCAGGGGTATGGCCCACAAACAGGATAGTCTATATATGTGTGAGTGGGTGTGTGGGGCTCTGTGTTTGTCGGAAAACTAGTTCTTTTTCGCACCCAAGGCGATTGTCTGAGTGAGTGCCTGCATGTTCGTGGGTGTGTACTGTATGTGTGTGTGTGCATTTGTTTTAAAGAAATTGTTCAAAATGCGTTCCCAGCCATTTGCATTGCCTACTTTCAAGGGCAAAAAGTAGGCTTACATTTTATTGAGTACAAGCGTATCAGTACCGTAAGTTTGAATGCTTTTAGTGGCTTATAACCACCGAAACCCATCAGATGTAACCAAAAGTAAACAATTAAGCTTATCCTAAATATTACATTATGGTATTTAGAGTAATTATATGTAAGAAGCTATTAATATTTATGTTGAATTTTAAACCTTTTTTAGTACAAATAGTTGTAAGCTAAGTTACCTCGCTAAGCCATAGTCTAAATCACGTTTACCACTCGAGCTCACTTTTGAAATATTGTTTTCATATATTTTTCTCCACTTTTTCTCTCTCCACGGTCTACCCCAATAAATGTATCTCCAACCAACTTGCCCGCCACAAAAACCATTAATGCCAAAAACCAAAAACCCCAAATAATGTCTAACCTAAATATAATGAAATCACAAAAATAAACATCGAATAGCAGGTAATTTTGGCGGCGTTCAAGGTGTCCAAACAGTTCTCTCGCCCGGCGATCTACAGATTCATGCAAATGTAAGCAAAAAGAATTAAATCAAGGCCCGAAGGCATTATGCAAAATTATTTGAATGTGTGTGTCTCTTCGATGTTATTGTTTTTTTTTTTGTCTTATCAGTTACCTACCACATGTCACCAGCGAAAGCAAGGAATGTGCGATTTTCTTAGTTGTTCAATTTGTTTCCTTTTTTCAAAGCACTGTCGTCTAACTCACACTTTCTCCAACACTCTCTATCCGTCACTTTCTCCTCTTCCTCATAGAGTTTTGTTTCGGTTATAGCCAATTAACTGGTGATGCAATCAAGCGTTTCTCAGTACGTGTTTCTTTTGCTTCCGGTACTGCTCTCTATCTATCGATCATCACTTGACTTCCTCCTCACACCTGCCACACACACCCTATAACTCTGGCTGTGACACTCTTTATCGTTACTTGACGAGATTTTCAAACACTTTGTCTTATATATTTGTTACTTTTTTGCCTTTTTTATGTATTTTCTACGTTTTTCCCCTACCTGTAAATGTGAACTGAAACAAAAATAAATTTCTAAAAAGCAAGAAACTTGGTGAATAATTTGCATGGATATCGTAACGCTGTTTCCCATTTCCTCCTTACTTCAATCCGATTCTACACTGTCCAATACACAAACACACTTATCCATTCAGAACATTCTACAGTTCTACACTGTCCCCCAGGGCTAAGCCCTCTAAAAATATTTTCCCCGTGCCCCGAAAAGACTTGGATTGTATACCTAATGTTCTTGCAACTTTTAGCCACAACAGATAAGTATTTAACTACCCCATATCTCTCAATGTCGATTTCCGAAAACTGGGCACTATATCTCTGAGTAAACTTAACCCGGCCATGGCACCATTAGACCCAACAGTCGCGGGCACTCGTAACTCTAGTCTAGTAGGTCTATTATAATACTCGTACTACCCATACTTAGCTTACTCATACTTGTGGCCTAAAACAGTAGTGTCTCCACGGATTTACAAAAGAAGATACTTAGAATCTTTCAAATATGTATTTTTGGTTAGAATATTTTTTTTTTAAATAAGCATAAAATGAAAAGTTCTTTAAGAAAATCCTTGCAGACACTACTCATCATTCGCCACAACTCGAAAAAATTCCAGAGCAGGATCAGACACTGATCCGAAACCCACAAATAAGTCTTCTATCATACGTATTTATTTGCATCGACTTTTGCTTTATCGACCATATCGATTACCATATTTTGTTTGTGTGCATTAGTTGAAACATCTGAAAAGGACAACAAACTATGGCAGGCAAGCGGCGCAGTCCCCCCTAGTAATCCGAAAGTAATCCCCTAAAACCCCTAATACCCAGCCCCAAAGTGAAACCCCGAAATCCCACAGAGCAAACCCCCGTTAGTAGCCATTATAGCCACACCCAATCAACATCTCCAACCCCTACAGGCGGGCGCCTCCAGGTGCGCACCTCTCTGGATCCGTGGCGCCAGCAGCGGAGCCTCAACGAGCGGGACCTGCTCAGCTCCGGCGGTGACTTACGCCACCTGTCGCAGACCAGTCAGCGGCTGTACGCCTCCGCGGACCAGCGAGACCGCTACGAGCTGCAACTACAGCACCGCGAGCGCCTCGAGCAGTATCCGCTGACGCGAACCGCACGCCTGGACGTCCAGCAGCGGAACTCGCTCAATCGCAGCAACCACGAGCGGCAGTTCTCCACGGCTGGTGGAGCGGGAGCAGCGAGTGGTGCTGCTGGCGCCTACCGACGTGCCCCGCCCTTGGCCGCTGCCGGCGGCGGCGGCAGCAGCAGCAGCAGCACCACTAGCAGCAGCTACTACCCCCAGGCAAAGCCGCAGATTGTGATTGGTCCGGGAACGGGATCTGGAACGTTATCGGCATCGGGCTCCTACGATAGAGGGGCAGCCATGGCGGCAGAGGCGGCACGGGGCAGTGGTCATCGCGGCCTGCTGGGCGCCTCAAGGAGCGGCGGGGGCAGCAGCTCCGTCAGCTCCACAGAGGCGGCCTACTGGGACGAACCGGCCACCAGCTCCTCCTCGTCAGCTGCCCAGGATTCGCGGCGCTTCACCGAGCGCAGAATAAAGAAGACGGTGCGCTTCGATGCCCACGACGACGAGGCCGTCCTGCTGGCTGCCAATCAAGCCCTGCCCCCGGTGACCGCAATCCTGCCCTCGACGGCGGTGGATGTGGGAGCTGCCACCATTCTGAGCAGCGGGAAAACGCTGGACGGCGACTGGTCGCGTTGGGAGTCGGAACGCCAGGGCAGCCAGGACTCGGCCACCAAGGACTCAGGCATCGATACCAGCAGCACGTTCACCAGCAGCGAGGACTCGAATCGCGGCGACGGTCCCAAGGTACAAGGAGTCGAGTTCGCGACGAACGAGATGGGCAAGAATGCATTGTGTCTGTGTAGAGTCTCTCTCTGTCTCTCTATCTTTGTCTCTTTCTCCCCTCTGGACCCCCCAACCCACTTTCATCCGTTTGTCTGTGTGAAGAACCGAACCAACAAAAATGATAACCCCAGTATTCCCTGTTTGTTGTTCTTGTCGAAAACCAACCATAACCCAGACCATAATCAAGCAACAAAATATCGTTTTTGGTTATCACTCCTAGCTCGCAACCAGCTCGCAAATTTCAGCTATTTTGACAAACATTTCAGCATACGACTCACTGAACCCCAGAGAAAACGAAACTCCACAAGAACCAATATTGCATGATCGTGTATAAGTTTTTTTATCCTTCAAGTCTCTGAGTGTTGTGCTTGCATGAATCCCAACTATCTCTCAAGAAAATGAATTCCCAAAGCACGCCCTTGCATGACCCCTAAATGTTAGCGGTTTTAGCATTCAAAATTAACCCATTAATCGCCTGGAGTTGAGGAAACTCTTGAAACGTGTGTGTTCTCAAAACAAGTAGGAACAAAATATACAAACGAAACAACTATGTATCTCTATCTATGCGCTATGCCAACTATCCGTAATTGAGTAGAACGTGTTTCTCTAGCCTGTAAGAAAACAAACAAAACCAAAACCAAAACAAAACCAAAAACAAAATGAATGTGAACAAAACGTGTACAAAATGTTACTTTCCACTGTTATACATACTATATATATATTTAATTTCGCTTACCAACTCTAATTGTAAGTTTGTACTAGACTGTAAGTTGTTAACATATTTCTGAGACCTGAGACCGGTGCAAATTGCTAACTAAAAACAATTCTACTTCCCGCATACGATGGCTCCCCACCGAACACCACCACATCCAACAACCAAAATCTATGCACGATCATCCGCAATCCGAATTGTAATCCCACCAATCAATCACAATAACCACCACCAACCAATCAACCACCCTTCCACACCCACCACTGTCGATGCATATAGAATCCGGTGAATTGGCAAACATCCGCGGACAATACTCGCCTGATCGGGCATATGATATTGCGTAAATACTATGACGGGGAGGATATATTAGGCTTAAAGGTCAACGGCGGTCAGCCCCTTGGAGTGGGCGGCGGCGTCGCAGGAGGCGGCGCAGGAGGAGGTATAGGAGGTCCATGCGGGGCAATTGTGGAGAAGGTGAAACGCGGATCGGTGGCCGATCTCGAGGGCCGGATTCGACCAGGTAACCACCATCTCTAATCATCCCATTTTCCACTCACTACATCCACTCTATCTCTTTCTTCTCGTCTCTCTGTTTTCTCTCTCTTTCTGCCCGCCTATCTATGATCGTTCGATCCATCCTCACATCCATTCATGATCCGATCATCGGCGGGAGCAGGCGACGAGATAATCGAGTGGAATGGCCGCAGCCTGCACAACAAGAGTGCCGACGAGGTTTACGACATCATCGACGAGAGCCGCCTGGACGCCCAGGTGGAACTGATTGTGAGCCGGCCGATTGGGACCGGCGGTGGCAGTGGCGGCAGCAGCAGCAACGTCAGTCCCAGCAGTGCCTGTTCCGCTTCCGCGTCCGGCATATCCGGCATTTCCGGCGGCTCCGCCAGCAGCACCGCCCCGCGCCGCTCTTCGGCCAACTTTCCGCACAGCGGACTGGCCTGCAGCATGGCGGGAAGTGCGGTGGTCAGCAGTGGCGGAAGATATCTTCAGCGAAAAGGTATTACTCTATATAAGTCTAGAATAAAGTCCTTTGAAAAGGATTTTCCTACTGTTGTTGTATGTGTGAGTCTGTATGATTGAGTGACTGAAAATTGTGACAAAAATAAACCATAGGAACTTACAAAGAGGGTGGGAATAAGAGCCATATTTTGGCGTATAATTTGGATACCATAATATGGAAAATCTTAAATTTGCTGCGTAACAAGGGACTAATGGTTTTAGGAATAAAAGTAATTCAGGACAGTCATAACACGACCATAAAACTAACTTCATACTCATACTCATAATGCTTCAATAATCAATAATATCTACCAATATCCAATTGCAATATAGCTCCTGCGGTTGAGGCTATCGAAATCCATCGAGATAAGCCAAGTGTGCTGATTACCTCGCCCGGTTCGCCGGACATCCACACCGGTGTTCCAGGATCAGGAGCTGGCGGAGGACTGCGGCAACGTGGCGTCGTCGCGCATCAAACGCAACGCCTGGGACCAAGTCACAGCAGCCACAGCCACAGCAGCAGCGGGAGTGGCAGCGGCAGCAGCACCAGCAGCGCCCACACCGCCCCCTCCAACGTCACCAACCTCGCATCCGCATCCGCCACCGGCTCCGCCTCGGGCGGTCTGCACGGCACAACGACGGCGGGCCATCATCACCACCATTGCCATCCGCATTCGCATCAACACCCGCTACAACATCAAGGACTGCCCACCGCCCACCTGCACGGTCACGGGGTGGGCGGGGGCGTGGCCATGGGAAGCGGCTCAGGCACCACCACACAAGCGCTTCCGATCGAAGGTCGGTTGCAGCTGAAGCTCGGCTACGACCAGAACACGTTGCAGCTGATCGTGACCCTGGTCTGCGCCACCGGCCTCTCCCTTCGCCAGAGCGGAGCTGGCCGCAATCCCTACGCAAAAGTGAGTATCCTTTTAGGATAAAGAGCGCCTCATATACGTAAAGTTATATTCTTTCAGGTGTTCCTTCTGCCCGATCGCAGCCACAAGTCGAAACGGCGAACAAAAACTGTGGGCACCACCTGCGAGCCACGCTGGGGCCAAACCTTTATCTACTCGGGCCTGAGACGCTGCGACCTCAGCGGCCGGCTGCTGGAGGTATTTGGTGGCATCTTCTTGAAAAGCTTCCGATCGGATAACTAAACTGCCCTTTTCAGGTGACGCTGTGGGATTATGTTCGGTACGGGGCCAACGACTTCATCGGCGAGGTGGTAATCGATCTAGCGCACCACATCCTGGACGATGAGGCGGAGTGGTACCAGCTGCAGCCTCATCAGGATACCTCCTACCTCGTATGTGTGTGGGCCGGGGCTATTTCAGTTCGTTCGCTTGGTTTCCATTTTGCGTTCGTTGGTTCGGTTTCCGTTGAATCCTGCGTGTTCAGAAAATTATTCATACATAGGTGTTGGCAAAGGGCTTTAGCGAAAACCTAAAGGAAACACAAACGAGCTAAGGTTAAGCTTAGCAAACAATGCTTTGAGGAGCGAAAAAATTAACACAGAACTTGCAAATGAAAAATGGAAAATATTATGGTTTCAAATATTATTATTGTTTAATTATAATTTTTAGTTGTTTTGTGAAACTAGTTGTAAGGGCTGATCCGTCTTACAGTTTTGGAGATTTTATTAAATTTTAAATAGATAATTCTATCGAATCTATATAACTGAAAGTAGGATCCAGCTTGGTAATATTCCCTTGCCAACCATCCATTCCTGCAGAAGCTGCCTGGTTTGAACAAAATTATTAATTCAGCATTGTCATTATCTGGTTTTTTCCGTTGGTTTTTTTGTACTGCACCAACACGTTACCACCCCAAAAACTTCACCACCCTCTGCCACCACCACTTCCACCCACAATAACAAACAACAACAACCACATGTGCGATTCTCATACAACGAAATCAACAACATTGCGACGCAAAATTTATGACACCAACAACAACAACAACAATAATAACTAAAACAGTTACGTGACGAGGGCAGCGATGTGGACGGCCTGATACTGACACCGACAGATCATTTATCACCGCCGAGCACCATGTCGCGCCTGAGCGACTCGGACACAACGTCCGACTGTGACATCGATGGAATGACCCCGGGGGCCAGCATCTCGTCGATGGGCAGCTCAGCGAGTCCACCACCCCTGCTTGAGGTAACAACAACAAAAACAAGAGCTAACCAAAAATTACAGTGAGAGCTCAACACACAGTAACAGAAACAGGATACAATGTTTGAATCAAAAATATTATTTCATCTGTATATAATACACTTGCCAAAAACTAGCAAAGGAAGAGCCAAACAAAAACAACTGACAGCAACCAGAGTGAGGACACTTGACTCACTAACACAATCACACATACATACATACTTCAATCGCAGCTTGCCACTTTCAGGGGCACTCAGTCCCTCCTACACGGTTACATACATATGAACATCCTATGTTCCCCTTTAACTTTCTCTTCTAGTCAGTCGGGAGACTCGACTATTTGGCGCTACTTATAAGCCTCAAAATCAAATAAAGTTGCTAAGGCTAAGCTGCATACTCTTGGCTAAAATTCTAATAACCAAATATATTAAAAATATTTATTAAAATATTAAATGATTGTGAGACTGCATGAGTTTAAAATTAAATAAAAAAATAAAGAAAATTCATAAGATACAGCATTCCATAATCCTTAGAGAGAGTATGCAGACTTCAGTGTCCACAAATGAACGTTTTGATGCTTTCAATTAAGTGCCATCCCTAGTTTATATCTCTCTCTCTATGTGTGCGTGCTTTTTTCTAACTGTAACTCACATATCACATGCCATGGGCAGCATTCACCATAAGCATCGCCATCAACATCAACCAGCCGACCCGTTGGTCGTCATCGAGCACAACCACAGCAGCAGAACACAGTCGGCGAATGAAAAGAATAACTCATTCATAGCCATGGCATCCATGGACTCCATTTTCTGTTTCAATTCCAGTTCCGGTTCCTGTCAGCTATCAGTTTTCAGTTTGCATGCCACACCACACACAACAGGCAAACAGAAATTGGTTAAATGTCAGATTCAACACGTGTCACCTCCCAGCAAACAAACATACATACAAAATGTACAAAGTATTTTGGTTTTCAAGTGTTTTGAGTTTGTTTTAAAGTTACATTCAACTAATTGGTGTCGTTGTTTGGTTGTGCGTGTGTTAAATTTTTCTCTCTCTTTCTGTCTTTCGAAAACTATGATCTGTCTTCGAAAACTGTCTTCTAACTCTATGTACTAAAATCTCTACCGAATCCAAGCGGGCCTTGGTCGCGACTTTTCAGCTAACGATAACTATTGAATTTAAGATGAAAAACTACTCTAGTCTAAGTCTCTTAAGTCGAATGTTTTAAGCTAAGAATCCGTGTAAACTTAAACTTGAGAACACATACTGCCAAAGGCGGCCTTAAAACTACTATAACTCTCTATCGTATCCCATACCGATCTGCCATTCAACCGCTATTGCATGCCTCTATAGAATATCGCTTATGCCCATCCACTGACCACCCGCCCAGCATCCTGCTTGTAGCTTTAAGTGTGTAGCGTTGCGTATACTTGATGTGAGTTGAGTTGAACAAACACAGCCCCCCCAGACACCTGAGAAAAGTGCCAGACCCTTACCCAGAGATACTCCCACACAAACACAATGTAAGAGGCCAATACTGTAATTTTTTGAATACCACACACCTAAACACATATATCACACTCCCAGATTTCCGCTCATTTTGTTCATATGTAAACTTCTTTATTGTCTTATCCTTCTTTTTCTCTCGATCTTTATCTTTCACTTAAAACTGAACTCCTCTAAACTCAACACCCCTTAAACCTTTAAAAAAAACCCTCGTTCCATTCCAAATCCGAAAACCCTTTTAACCGAAATACGACGATCCAGATCGATCTAAACGAGCGTCGCTCCAGACGCGATATGTCTCCCCAGGGCCGCAAACGGGTGGCCGGGATGGTGGCCCGCGACTACCGCACTGTATCTGGCATCGGACAAAGTTACCACAATCAGGTTTGCACCAAAGCTAAATTAACGAACCACCAAACAGAACTGCAAAAAAAGCACTACAAACAAAACAGAACAGTACAGTGAGGTCTACGAAGTCACTTGCGTTCAAAGTATCATCTTAGGAACCCGTGGGGGGTTAATTAGAAAAGAAATGATATACAAAAAAAAATCACAATTCAATCTCATGATTTATTACAAAAATAATATCAAAATAAAGGATTTCTTGCAGAGATCACTTGGTTTATGTTAAAGTTTCTTGGCCAGTTGAAAAAAACCCACCCATAGCTAGTTTAGTGAGTTAGAACCACCGCCTTACTACAGCACTTTCTATTCAGAGTTCATGCTAATATTTTACTTAACCTAACTAACTAACCCTAACTAATACTTCCGCATTCCCACCTTAGGGAGTGCAGAAGCTTGGTTCTCAATGTATTTTAATTGATTTCGTTTCAAAAATATAATATCCGTATCCAATTTTATGGCTCTCTATCTCTTGTTCACCTACGTATTACCATATCTTTGAACTTACTCGTTTCAATGTTCCAGTAGAAGTTGCAGTAAAGTTAACCGAAAATAAACCAACACGAACACCCACACTGTTAATATGCCTGAATTAAGTTCAGAACCACTAAACCACTTGAAATCACTCGACCACCCAGAACCACTCACATGCCTAGTTTATAAGCTCCGATCCGAAAGTTTGTCAGAGTCCCTGGACCCCAAGGGGATGCCTGATTGGTTCGGCTGAGAGGTGCACCACTCTAACCACTCTCTACTTTCCATGCCACCACCTGACGCACTTTCAGGCATCTGCCAGCGGCTACTATCGTCGCGGAGGTGGTAATGGTGTTGGTTCCGCCATCGGTCCCGGTGGCATGAGCCTTAGCCAACGCAGCCACTCAGCGGCACCCAGTGACAGCTACCACAGTGGTGGAGGAGGAGGCGGCGTTCCCTCTGGCGGAGTGGGCTACGGATATCGGAGTACCAGTCCGCGGCGCGGATCTCTTTCGCCTCCCGACGATCGCTACATAGACTATCCAGTTCTTCCAGTTCACGGCTCACCCAACGCTCCATCGGCATACCAGGGGCCGGGTGGCGCATCCTCAGCGTCAGCTGCCACGCAGCAACAGCGGTTCCAGTCGCGATCGGCTACAGCCACGCCTACAGGCTCTCCCAAGAAAAGGCAACTGCCACAGGTAACCTTGGCGGGACTTGTAGCTAACAAGGATTATTCTGAATCCTTAACTTGATGTTACAATAAGCAATATTGAAGAACAAGTTCTGATGAATATTAAATTTTTCGTTTCGTTAGGTGCCCCAGACATCTCGCAGCGCCATGTTGAGGGACCGACTCGGTCAGGACTTTGACGAGCGACTGGCCTCGGGCGGCCGCTTTGGGCGGCACCGCACAAGGCAGCCCCACCACCAGGCCACCTACCGCAGCACTGGGATGGGCGGCTGGGAGCGGCACTATACGGGCCTTTCCGACAGCGACCTGCACTCGATGGACACCAGGATGCGACCACGACACTCCCTGTCGCCGGACAAGGACTTTATGGGCGAGTTCGGCGACTCCGATATGGAGTCTGTGGTCAGTGTGACCTCCAGCGCCTTCTCCACGCAGTCGGAGCGACCGCGTACCTCGCGTGGCCTCAGGTGAGTAGCTGACTGGAGGGATGACCGAATGTTCGGAAGGAAAGAGGAAGGAGTGCCAGTCAGGCTTGAAACAAGCCAAGCAAAGCTGTCAAAATTACGCTGAAATTCCGCTCTGGGCCACACGCTATTGGCCTTCTTGTAATATTTTCTTTCTGAGTAGTAGCTATGAGCAACATTACAAAATTTCCTTGAATTAGGCTTGGTATTCAAACGATCAGAATCAGAATCGGCGCGCTTACCGCCCAACTCTCTCTTTGTAACTAATACAAACAGACACACACCAACACACCCACACACACGTGGACCCAAAAAGTATTTTCTCGCTTACACTGATTACCACACGCACACTGAAACCAAAGGAAAACGAAAGCGAAAACTTTAAGTTTCTTTTCTGCATTTACTTTTTGCGTTTGCCAAACCAACCGACCAATAAAAAATCTCTATGATAATCTCAACAACAATCAACAACAACAACTTGCCGCTCTCGCCGCGCCAACTCTCTGTTTGTGTTTGTGTTTGAATGCTTCTCTCGCGTGCCGTGCTCGCCACACGCTTACACGCCGCCAACTCACCACGAAACACATTCCAAAACATAACTCCACCGAAAAAAAAATGAACATGAAACACACAACCACCCACCCACCCACTACTCTCACCTGACCTCGGACGATGTTCGATCTTTTCCCCCCCAATGTGCGCTCTCAATTCAACTCACCACCCCCTGCACCTGGTTTCTGCATTTCCTCAACACTCTTCTATGCAATGGGTTGGTGTAATTACAACAACGTTTTGCATGCCACTGAAAACCACCACCGCCGCTGCCACTCGTTTATCGTTACCGTTACCAAAAATATACCACCCGTTACCGTTGCCCACAAATAACCGTTAGCTTCCCCCGCAACTGGCGCAATCTCTTTGGCGTCCGCAACAGTTTCCTCAGCGGATCCGGAGGTGAGCCCATCACCGGACTGCGGCTGCACCACTCGGAGCCGGGCAGGGCCAACACCATCGAGGTGGATGACTGTGATTACCTGCCATCGGGCGGGGCCCAGCAACTGGTTCTCCTCGAGCAGCTGGAGCAACTGCAACATCTGGCCGCTCTGGCGGCTGCCGACTCGCCCCCAATCTCCGCCAGAGTCGGAATGGGCATAGCCCCGCACCAGGTACTGGTGACGGATGCCAACAGTGGCCAACTGGTGGAGCAGTTCTTCGTGGAGCCAGGCACCGTGGCCGAGGAGGCCCTTATGCCGCTCGAGCCACTGGACCCACTCGATCCCCATGCGCATCTGCATCCACATTCCGCCTTCTACTCGCCCCATCTGCCCACCACCATGCCCCCATTCGACATTTTTCCACCAAGACGCTCGAACGGACAGAAACCAATCGTACAAGCCACCTCCGCCGCCTATCCGCTGCAACCGCAACCGCAACCGCTGCCGCTGCTGCCGAGCTTTGAGCAATTCAAGCGCATTACCTCGCCCATCACCAATCTCTTCCGCAGCTCTTCGCCAGCGGGCGGCCACGCCCACGCCCATGCCCACGACCATGCAACGACTTCGCCCAGTTCTCTGGTGGGCTATGTGCGGGATCACCTGGACAAAAGCTGCAGCCACTGCCAGAACGGAAGCCAACCGGTGGTGTTGTCCACGCACCACACCTTGCAGTTGATTGGCGCATGTCCCGATCCCTGCTGCCTGGCGGACGCGCATCCCCATCCCCAGCACCAGCCTATGGGGTATCCCTATGGAGGCGAACCCCGGCCACCCTCCTCTGATCCAGCCATGTGCGGGGAGTGCGTCGATCAGCACTTCCTCGGCGGCTTGACGGGGCCGCAACTTAATCTCGGAGTGGTGCCTACCTATCATGTGCACACACCCACGCCAAACGCCCATAGAAGGGCCAGGGGGCAGATGAACACGCCGGCCCCGCCACCGACCCAATCGGTCCTGCGGCTATCTCGGCAGCTAAGTGAAGACGCTCTGGTGGCAGCTGTACCCATTTCGGAGGCCAAAGCCCAGCCCACTTCGATTCTGAAGAAACCGAAGCTGGAGCGCCGAAGACTCTTTCATGAGGGGCAGTCGCGTTCGCTGGACTACGATGACCTGCACACCAAGAGCTGGGGCAGGCGTCGTATTCGCTACGAGGACGAGATGGCGCCCACGGACGATTACCCCTATCCACATCCAAGCGCCTACGCCCACTCGCCCACCTCGGCCATGTCACGGCGATACGGATCCGAGACGAACATCCGGCAGTCTTACATGGGCGCCAATGTGGATGCCAGCAATCCGTTGAGTCACTCGCACTTCCTGGTCACGGATGACAAGATCGTGACCATAACCTACGACTCTGATGTGGGTTGGACGCGTCGAGGAGTGGCGCCTTCACTTTTTCGAGGGACGCACCGCCAACGTGGCCTGACCGATGCCAGGCACCACATGTCCCTGGATCTGCAGCGGACCAGCCAGCAGAAGCTGTACGGGCCGGCGGCTCCGTATTTGAAACGGAGGCGGAACCTGCCACATCCACCTAGCGCCCAAAACGCGCACAACTTTTCGCCAATGGAGGGGGGAGCGGATCAACTGAATGCAGCTGTGGCGGGAGTGGACCAAACGGGCAACGGCGGAATGGGTAGCGGTGGTGGTGCACACAACACATATAGCAATACCGCCACCACACACAATAGCAACCACCAGAATAGCCTAGCGAGTAGTGTTAGCAATCAGCAATCAGCTAGGCAAAAAGGGAAAGAAGGCGGATCGATGATCGGAGCATCGGAGCAGCTGACGAAATCTAGTAGTGGGAGCGGTGGTGCAACATCTGCTGCCGCTGCTGGGCATCATGTCGTCGGTGGTACTAATGCTAATAATGCTTCTTCTTCCTCTTTTGCAAATCCCCAACCACCACCACAACAACAACAACAACAACTACATCATGGATCACCCAATAATAACAACAAACGTGTCCTTTCATCAATGACAACAACAAATACTACACCACAACAATCACACACTGACGCCAATAACTTGACGCTTGACGCCACACAACAACAACAACAACAACTTGTACAACAACAACCAACGCCAAATACATGCACAAATCTCATAACAAACACAACAACAACATTATCAACAACCACAACAACAACCACACCATCGTCGAATGCAACGAATGCGGCGACAACGACAACTACAACCACTGCAACAACAAATGCTACAACAACTGCCACAAATCCAACGACAACAACAAATAACACTAACGAACCAAACGCAACAACCAACGCCAATGCCGATGCGGATGCGGACGCGGATGCTCCGCTGGACGCAATCGACTGGGATGCAATCGATGCGATGCTGGACGACGACTTCAGCGAGTACGACAAGGACAAGAACGGCGCCGATGAAGCGGGCGGCTCCAAATCAGCAGAAGGAGCTGGTGCAGAAGGCGAAGAGAAAGTCGGTGAGTGCCCATAAAATGCGAGATTTGAATGGTTTAGGGTACCTGGCTCTCTGAGCGATGAAATACATAGAAGCAGGAAAAATATTTGACCCACCCGGCGTATGAGTGATATCATATTAAGTATACGACGAGTAGGCATATTGAATTTTCAGCTGAATTGTATGCAACAAAAAAAAAAAAGGTTTTTTTTTTTTCAAAGGGCTTATGGGTTTTAGCATCCACTAAATATTTTGTTCTTTTATTAAAAGAATTATTATTTTATTTTTATTTTCTTTTTTTATGAAATATTTAAAAAAAAAATTTTTTTTTTTTTCTTTTAATTTTAATTTAAAATAAAAACTAAGAAATTACCCTTATATTTATTCCCTAATGTGGAATAATTGTGTAGTTAGAATATTCTGACAAGCCTGCAAAAGTATGACCTGTATAAAAAATTACTCATACGCCTTGTATGCAGAAGAGTCATAAAATTCAAAAAATTATAAAAACTACCAACTTTAATTTTTGAATCGATTAATCCTACAGATGGAAGCCTCTCGGACACCGCTACGGACAGAAAGAAAGGCGGCGCCATTGACCAGGAGCGGTCGCCCAAGGGCGGCAGCGGCATGGGAAAGAAGTCCAACTCCACCTCACAGCTTTCGGCAACAGGTAGGCCATTTGTTCCGTTCTCTGTTTGCGCTCGTTTACCGTTCTTGTTTAGTTACATTGAGTTTCATAGTCAGATGATCAGTTAATCGTAAAATTTTGGTCTCGTTCCGGAAAAAATTAACAAAAAAAAGAGTCCGGAAAGAGCAGGCATCTCGTCCTTCGTTGATCTCATACCCATTGATTTAGTTCATGCTTTGCCATTAATTTTTCGGTTGCCCGACTAACGTCATAACTGTATTCATAACCATAAGCTAACCCACTAACCAGTAACCAATATAGTTAAACTAACCAAAAGAATACAAAAATACTAAAACTGTGTAAAATGCCGTACTCGAAGGTCGTAAAAGACGTATGGGCTTTGGAAAGAAGGGTAAGAACTCGTTCACGGTGCACCGCAGCGAAGAAGTGCTGCCCGGGGATATCACGCGAGAGTTGCGCAGCAGCGGCGGTGCAGGCGTCAGCGGTGCCGGTGGTGCCAGTGGAGCCGGTGGTGGCGGTCTGTCCCGCGGTTCGTCCTCGGAGGCGGACGCCATCGAGCAGTTTTTCGGCGATGGCGCCGGCGGGGAAAGGTGCGCACAAGTCCAACTTTCTACTCTAGCTATCTTCTCTCTACTCTAGTATACTTTCTACGCTATTCTATCAGTTCTTTTCCGTATCTTTATTCTATTCTTTATTCTTTTTTAACTTTATTTTGTTTTTTTTTGCTCTCTAGAAAGAAAAATAAATTAAAAAAAAAAAAAACCAAAAGAAAATTCCAGTTGATTGAGATGATAAACATTAGTCGGCCCAAAAACAAAAATCAAAAGAATCCTGTAAACAGTAACAGTACATTATCGGTAACACTCACAGGATATCCATTTATCCATAGATATAAGAGCTTCTCATTCACTTTTCTCTCTTGCTCTTTTAACTTATGCGCGTGCTTTTTGCCAAAAGCTTCAGTGAAAGAAAGCTCGCCCTTTTTGAAAAATTCCAACCGAATTCGAAACCAAACCAACCGCCTCCCCTCCGTTTATTTGATTTATTATTTTCGACCCTCACGAAAGCGCAGGTACAACAATCTAAACAAACAATAAGTAAAATATTAAAAATATTTCCAGAACAACCAGAACCAGAACAACCCAACTAAACCAAACCAAAACCAACAAACAATCCAAAGTCGATACGTATTTTTAGGCTTATAGGGGGAGTCCTGTTTATCCAAGGATTCCTCAAAACGAAGCGGGGCACTCCAAAAGCTTTGCTTTCCCGCCAAATGCTTTAATTGTAAAGCAAAGCTTTTGGCTGTGCGACAGCCCCATTTGCATTTTACTTTCTTAGCAACATACTTACTATAATTACTACTACTAACCAGTAACCAGTAAACAGTTACCCGTAACCTATATCCTTTACCGATTGCTAATGCCATTTGTATAACCCACACAAAACATTTTATCCTAGCGTTCTGTTCGATTTGCATGCATTGAGTTAAGCCAATACCTATACCTACTTATATACTCGTAACATACTCGATACCAGCATACCAGCAACTACCAATCTATTGCAGCTTCTAAGAATCTTAATATTGCTCTCTAGCTGAGTTTAAAGCCTAGGCTAAAGCTAAAGTTTGAGCTTCAGCTGCAGCTAGTTGTTGTAAGCGGTAAGCAGTACATCGGGAACTGATCCCCAACAAGGAATCTTCCACACAACCACCCGGCAGTTTCCTTTAAATAAAAAATAACACCAAACATCGGGTTGAAGTCTTCAACTCCTGTCTGCGAACTAATGTTTATCATCCGCCCGCCGCAAGATTTTTCTTCAGTTCCATTATGTTTTGTGCAATCGATTCGGATACCTAAGTATACAAAAATATATGCAGGGAGCTCTGTCACAGAAAGTCAACAAACATCGAACCACAACATCTCAAATACAACCACAATCAACACACATCTGAAGACCACGACAAATACCAAAATTGTAACAATACTGCTGTACAAAAAACATCAACCAGACCCATCTGAATTGGCCTACTGAAACAGCAAACATTTTTAGCATTGCACACGACGTAGCGGAAGCAAGTACCAAAAGTGCAGTACATATCACAGCAAATATAGAATCAACACTCTACTGTATACCAGAACCGAAATAGTACACAACCAAACGGGTTAAAAATGCTATTTTAGCCATGGCATAAAAACAGCAATTTTTTTCATTTCAGCCACTAGTTTTGATGATTTTTCGCTGATATATAAATATATATATACATATAGTGTGTACTCTATGATCAGTGTTCTTATGGTTATTAAGTTATCGTTCTCGCTTGATTTACCCCCTCAGTTTGTATATCGATTTCCGTTTCGACTCTACTCTGTCTTGTCGCTCCTGTGGGGATGCCCCAGCATCGGTTCTCGCTTAAAAAAAAAGGTTTTGCGGTTTCCAACAGCCCAGCGTCGAGAGTCCCCAAGCCCAGAAATCAGAATTCACATCCGACGTCGCAATCACATCACCTACTGTACTGCACCGTCGCTTTTGAATTTTGAGTTTTCGAATTTTTGAGAACAGAAATATCATATTTTGAATTTTGATAATAATATTATTAGATCATACCACAGGTGGATCCAGAAATTTTATGGGGCTTTAAGAATTAAAGATACCAATTTAATTTGCAGCATAAGGTCTCTGAGTCATCCACCTATCAATATTTTTGAATCAAAACACACACACATTGTATCATCAACCATTTCACACACCCTCTGTAAATACGGTACACCTTGTACATCTGTATAAATATGTATTGTTGTCTCCGGCAGAGCAAGAGCAATACCAGGCACAGTTCTCAGGCAGCTCGACCAGTTCTGCTGGTCACCACCATATCACACTACCTCCACCACATCCATACCACCAGCGGCAGTCGCGCGGCTCGGCGGGCAGCATCCAGCGGTCGGTGGAGGTACCTCCGGTGCCTCCGGTGACCCGTTACAGTGCCGGCAGCATTCATTCGATCTCTAGCTCCGAGGGCTCATCGTAAGTCTCCCGATCGCCTCGGCAAAAGTGCATTTCCAAACCAGATGCTACTATGAACCACCATCCATCAATCTATGCCTGTGCCACTTCTCTCTGTCTCTGTCCCTCCGACTCTTCTCTATCTCTCTATTACTTTCCGTCACTCTCCGATCTAAAATCTATATCCATTTGGCTTTTGTATATGGTAATCTGTGTGGCGACCCCATCTCAAAATATTTCCAAAACTCTCATCCTGCAACTTTCTCTTTAATCGATGTCTGTGTGCCTTTGAAAGCGAGCCTGCATTTGCGTACATTTTTTCTCTAAGTGTTTTCCATCTATTCCACCTTGAGTTCTGTATACTTCCTTGAATTATTTGTCTATTCTTCTGTCATGTAATGTGTAAAAATTGTGTTTTTTTGGTTTATTTTCTCTATGATTTTCAGCAATCTATATATAGTATATATATATGTATATAAGAAAGTTAACCTCACTCTTGATGTGTGTGTAAAAGAAAAATCGGTTAAAATAAACAACAAAAAAATTATCCTCGTTCGGAAAAATCGCTTAGAGACTCTGATAGATTCAAGCGACACCAACTATAGTCCTAGTAGCTTCTCTGCACTATGCTCCTAGGAACGAAAGACACTGCATGCCACCATTGAACTGTGACTCCACTTGTCTGTCCCCCTTCGCACCGCCATTACCACTATCACCCTATTCACCACCCTAACACATGAACCACCTCAGACCACTACTGAAAACTACAACATTTACTGTCTTTCTACAACTCCCTGTGTATAAAAAGTACTTTTTCTTTTTCCAAAGATCCTTTCTTTCTCTAAATTATGGTATTTTATTTAAACTATCCATAGATTGGAAATAAAATATGAAAATTTATCCACGATGCTGTACTAAAATGCTTTCTTTAATGTACCCCAAAACCCACAAAAAATCCCAACACCATCCCCACATGTAGATTCTCCCCCTCGCTGCGAAATGATGGTGCCCTCAATGAATTTGTGGATGGCCTGGGCCCAGGACAGCTGGTGGGTCGTCAGGTGCTGGGAGCTCCCTCGCTGGGGGATATCCAGCTATCGATGTGCCACCAGAAGGGCTTTCTGGAGGTGGAGGTCATTCGAGCCAGAGGGTTGCAGGTAAGTTTATATTAAATGGGTATGTGCTAACAATCTTAACTTCTTTAAATCATCCACAGCAAAAAGCCTCATCGAAAATGTTGCCCGCTCCGTATGTGAAGGTTTATTTGGTGTCGGGAAAGCGCTGTGTGGACAAGATGAAGACCTCGACCGCCCGGAGAACCCTAGACCCTCTGTACCAACAGCAGTTGGTATTTAAGCAATCATATTCCGGTTGCATACTCCAGGTGAATAAATCTCTATTTTGTTATAGACCTAATCTACATATTTAATATTTTAAAATTTTCCTCTAGGTAACCGTCTGGGGCGACTATGGGCGCATCGAGAAAAAGGTGTTCATGGGCGTGGCGCAGATAATGCTCGATGATCTGAACCTGTCGAACATCGTGATCGGCTGGTACAAGCTCTTTGGCACCACCTCACTGGTCAGTTGTCCCACTAATATAGGCTTAGGCTCTAGGCGCTCATCCATAGCCTCACTCGACTCACTCAAACTCTAGAACTACTTAACTAATCTAATCTGAACTCGACTCAAACCAGAATCTTTCAAAACTCGATTCGTACAAGCAAACTAAACAAATTTAAACAAAGCGAATTCGCCAATTGATAAAGAAAAACTCACTTGTATTATATTTATGTAATCTACACAAAATACATTATATTTAAATCGTATTTAGCTCTTATTTTGTTCAGAACAAGTTACCAAGAGCAAAAGTTATACAACTTATTAGCGTAGTCAGTCGCAAACACCTGTAAAAATTCCCGAAATAAGACGATTGGTTTGATCAGTTAAAGAAAAACCAAAAAAAAAACTCTCATTATAACGTTAAAATAGTCAACATTTAAGTATTTGTTTTTAGTTAGCGATACACAAACGCACTCCTGTAAATGAAAAGCTTGTTAAGATCACACACTTTAAAGACATACCCACTACACCCATAAGGCAAAGTAGTATTTTGCATTGCGAACTGAAAAGTTGAATGGAAGGTTGATCAAAACCAAAACAAAAAACTAAAAAAAAAACAACCAAATCAAAATGCAAACAAAATTTAATTGAAAATCCTCTCGCAAGTCACCATAAGTCACCGTTAGCGTTATCGCTATACTTCAACGTAGTTTTCACATAGACTCGTATAATACTCATATAGGTATGTTTCTCAATCCCCGAAAACCCGATTACTCGATAGACTCGATCACACCCAAATATTTTGCTTAGCATATCCTAGTGCATGCGTAGAATAGTAACCAGCATCTGTTTGATTTTTGATCCAAGCCGGTAACAAGACATCACGGTTCTTAATCTCACACTATTTGTTTTACACACACTACTTTTTAAGAGAATATTTATTAGTTTTGAAATGGCAAACACTGGCTAGCGACCAAACATTCTAAAATAGAAAACGCTTAGGCCTAGTAACTATAATCAATTCTTTCGGTAAAAGAAACAAGAACTCCTAAGAATGCAACAAACTTTGAAACTACACCAGGGTCGTCCGATTGTCTGGGCCGGCGAATCAGTCATTATGGAGGAGCCGGGCGAATAACAATTCACAACACTCTCAACCCAAAAACCAACAAACAACACCACAACGAAAACACTTTAAGCACCTAAGCACAATTTAAAATCAAGCGAACTCTTACACTGAACTGGATTCAGTAAGTGCACCACGACTAATAATAAATAAATTTATTTCAAGCTTAATTCCTATATCGCTAAAAGCACCAAATATTTTGCCACTTTGCCATTTTTAACACTCAAAACTACACAAAAACACACACACACAAACCAGGCATAAAAATAAGCCGAAAGGATCTAATTAACTCATGTATAAATTCAAAACCGCTACTAACCCACTTTTGCCCGTTTCCGAAACAATTAACAACACTTACCAGATGGCATTTAGTTTGAAAATGTTCTCTAATTAGCTTGTATTTTTGCAGTAACCCTTGCAGAGAGCTGCCAGCCAGGCAGCAAAATAGCAAAGGACCAAGGTCAGCCTGCAGAAGTGGATACCCGGAAGCCGCCCTACCCTCGTTCGGCATGTTGGTGGCCTCAGCCTAAGCCTAAGTCCAAATCTGTATTTTTTTCTATTCTATCACGGAGGGATATTTGAAAAAAAAGAATACCTATTAAACCAAAAAAAAAAAAAACGAGAGGCTATCTAATTTTTCTAAGTCATGAAAACAATTGCATTTAAATGAATGAATGAAATAAAAAAAAACCACAGGCAGTGTGGAGAGATCAATCGCTTAACTAGGGAGTAAAGACACAAGATAGGGGTACAGAAAGTCTATATATATATAAATATGTATGTATACAGATATACATGTACACATATATAACGGATAACATTTGACAAAGGATACTTGTAAATTATGCATATTTAAAATAATTTTTTCTAAAAACCTAAGATCACTATCATTTTCGTATTACGATTACTACGATTATTATTATATTAAAATTATTATGGATTAAAGATCAAAAAACAAAAAAATATAATAATAAAATTGGAGAAGGTGGATAAAGTTCAAGTGCTAATGTCAGTCATGCCTAAGTCTAGACCCGAGCCGAGGCTCAGAGGATATAAATTGTTTAATGAAAAATTAGCTAAATCTAAATCAGTAAAGAGAGTTATAGATTTTCAGAGAGGCGTTATTTAAGTATATTATACATACATATATAAATCGATATATACATACATTAATATATTTACCGTTTAAGCAAGCAAAGAACCACTAACACTTAACTAAGCCTAACTTACGATAAAACCGGAACTTAAAGTTAAAGCTTAAGTTTAGGTAACCAAAGGAGGCATGAGATATGTATTAATCGAATAACAAAGAACAACAAAATATTTACCAAGCGAGAGATGAGCAAGTTTAACTTAATAATGCAAATCTGAAATTAAGCTGTATAAAGAATCCACCCACTCACCTACACACGTACATAACCGATATCCGATTAACGATTACCAATAACATATTACCGCCAACGCTTTTTCTGATTTTGACTTTTAGGCTCTACGCCCCGCCAAAAACTCCGCAGAAACCCCAAAATGTATGAGTTTTTGCCGATGGCGATGAGGATGCTTATTTTATACATAAACATATGTTTGAGGCAGAAATTTTATAATTTTAACGTTCAAAACTTAGAGAAAAGAGAACTATTTCTATTTGTAGCGAGCTTTACTTTGTCTTGCTTCTAGAATCGCTTTCCTTATAGAGAATCCCCTTATTTCGCCAAAGACACAAGCAACTCGCCTCAAAACGCATCAAGTACCTTCAACTAAATAGTGTGAGCTGTAAAAATTGTTACCTGCTTGCCAAAGACACACGTACACTAGCATAGATGGAAAATGGATAAATTATACATAAAATAACGAATATATTTTGCATATTCTTGCATCTATAATTTGAGATATTTTTGGCGTTCTTTTGGGCAACATTTTGCAATGCATTCCTAGAAAGGATCACTCCGACCGGTTCACTTTGAGCAGACATATCATAGAACTGGCGGACGGACTGACAATGGATGGGAACAGTTAATTTTGATATGCATAGTGCCATTCGTGGGATAGTAATGAAATAATCGTATATATGAAATAGTTAGACATTGTTCCTATCCAGTTTTTAGTGTTCGTTCTATTTCCTTTCGCTCATATGACTACGGATATTAAGTTAAACCTTGCCGTCCATTCATTCAGATACATACAGCTACGCATATATGGATACAGTGACCACAAACTACACACAAAGATAGTTAAAAATTATACTGACATGTGCATATCCATCTAGGCAACAGCTTCCTATATCAGATCTTAAAATACTATGAGATACGTAAAGAATTGCCAAAGCACAGGGATGCATTCGAAATGTTGCTTCAAAATAACAGAAAAAATTATCAAGATATCGCGTTTAAAATTGCATTTGAATACAAAAAAATCCGAAGGACAAAAATTATTTGAGAAAAGCAAAACTACCAGTGAGGTTTCCAGAAACTAACTATACGATATATAATTCTGAGATACATCATACATCCATATGCATACATTAAGGATAATCAGATTTTTACACTCCGCTCTTCACGATCCTCATACGAACTTTTCTATGATAAAACTCTCTCTATCTCTATATTATATTGTTTCCACTGATCTCCTCCAGCAAACATTTAAAAATGCTTCGATTATCCAACACAACCAAAAAAAAGGAGATAGTACACCCTCTACATCAACTTCGGCCATACCGAATTTGAAATGCCCGTTTCTGAACACAAATCCAATTCTATCGATATGGGTATTTCGCACTGTACTTTGTGTCATACAAAAAAATCTTATTAGGATTCCTATAGAATTCGATACATTTAAGACACACCAAAGACAAAGCATATAGAAAATGTTAATAAAGCAAAGAGATATATTATGGCAAGTTATTTCAAAGGCTACCAATTCAAGAAACCAAATGCTATTTACTAAGTTCAATCTGAATGAGAGGCGAGTAATTACACACTATACGACAAGATCAACAACACAAGATTATATCATTTATTGAAAATGTTGAACAAAATTGATAAAAAGGCGAAGGACACCGCTCTCGCTGGGCGCCCTGAAAACCTTATATTGTATTTTAATATCTCGACAACAATCGAAGGTCGAGAAACGACAATAAACTGTGAAATGAATATGTAAAAAAGCAAAACCAAAAGTAAAGACACAAAAACTAAAATTATATTAAAAATTGCGGTGAACATCATTATTGATATTGATGAACACAAAAACATAAATTGTGTAAAACTAAAAACTAAAGAGAAACTTTAAAGAAAAGTGAAATTTAAAAACAAAACAAAAATGAAATTCATTAAAAATTGTTTTCTAATAAAGTAAATAAAACGGACTTTCAATGGGGGGAAAAAGGTTTTTAAGCATTAATTCTTACCTTTAAAAGACCCACCACAAAAAATGAAAGAAATTCAGTCCATTGGGGTTTTACATAAAGCGGTGGTATTTCTTTATTTACCATTGATAAACCATTTAATCCGTATATGGTATATATAAATAATGTAAACATTTATTGATTTTAAATATAAATGTTTCTGTTGTATGTGCCGTTTTGGGGAACTGGGTTTAACCTTATTTTCATTTACAGGTTTGGCTCGAGTGCGCAAAAAAACTGACCCAAATTAGTTAAATAATTTAGGAGACTTATCATTTTGGACATACTTAGTACTTCGCCTGGATATTTTAATCGAATTAACCATTATTTAATTGGAAATTATCTTACAAAAGTTATCATTCTTAAATATTGATATCTCGTTTAGTTTAGTGCGTTTCTCAAAGGAACCAAGTTAATGAAGACGTACTAAACTATATTTATGGCCTATCCTCTATCGTATGAATTTCTCAATTGGTATTTGGGAACGCTTTCTATCAGTTGGGGGATTTGTGTGCCTTTTGAAATGTGTCATATTACTAATCAGTCTTTATAACGAAAATAAATACGGTAGGACTAGCAAATGCTCTATAAAAACATTTAGTTTTAGTAAAGCAATCCCACACAAAATAACAAAACTATTTACCTATATGCGCGGCAGCACGACAAATAAAATTTGATAATGCAATGGTTATGGGTTCTAGACATCGCAGCGTGCAGGAGTTCAAAGTGGAAAGTCTTGTGCATGAGAGATATGTATTGGGGGGGCGTGGATAGTAATTATTTGTATCATACATTAGATAATATTCATATTGTCGCTTTGTTACATTACATTTTACAATCATCTTATACGGTAAGCGTTGAGAGTCCATAGAAAATACGTATGCCAAAGCTTTGCGGGAGTCTATCATCTATGCCGACTAGCTGAAGCATTCTATTTGGCTAGATAGTGCCATAAAATACGATTTACCATTTTACATTTAATCCTTACAATAAAAACCATAGAATTGCAGCTTAAATTCGTATGCCTTTTCATCTTTTTGTTTGACCTTTTCTGTTTTGGTTTTTATTAGCTATTTGCTTCAATTAGAGAAATTGCTTAGGGAAAAATACTTTGAGTGCTTGCACATGATCGAGCTATGATATTTTATTCCTTTCAGATTAATAATATATGTAAGGGCCTTATTCTTAGCTATCGATATTCATTCATATATGATATGATAAACATTAGTTTACATTGATTACTTAAACACGATTAGCTTATTATCTTACACATTGTATACGAGCATAGCATGTAAAATATATATAGTATAAATATATATATTTAGATTTAGATTTAGCCATAGGTTTAGCCGTAGTTTAGATATAGTTTAATGCTTATTTTTTCCTTTGCTTGGATCATCTGAGTGGCAGGTTTGTGCTAATTACTTGAGTGGATCATCGTTTGGGCAAAGCAAATAAGGAGTAATTCAACCATTTGGGATTCGGTAACCAGCTGATCCATTGGAAGATTAGTGGATTCGGTATGGCTTCTCTTGGGGCCTAGAGCTGTACAAAAATCGATAGAGACTAACTTAAAACAAGACAGGACTTAGGGCTTTACCATAAAGGTATCTTGACTTGAAATTTTACAAATGTTATTCTTCTTAATTTGAGACATCGCTTTGCCCCTTTTGAAAATGATTAGTAGTTTCATTAGAGTGTAACTTAACATAGAACTGGTTTTGGGTTTTTTTTGGATTGCAATATTTAATATTATAGTTAGGCATCCTAGTGCAGTTGGGCCGTCACATATAGTCCGCAGTCCTGGTCGGAAGCCATCGAGTAGTTGGCCGAGTCGCGATCCTCCGGAATAGTCGGGTGCGTATCGTGCGGAAGCTTGGCGAAGGCATGGTGTCCGGCCCCGTAGCCCAGGTGTCCGTACGGCGACTCTGCCGCTTTGGTGACGTGCGGCAGGCGACGCAGGAAGTGCGGATTTGAGTACCGCACCCCGTTCGGCAATGTGGTGTGTGGCTGTTGCTGCTGACCCCCCATGGCAACGGCGGC